TTTGCTTATTTCTACAATTTTTTGTTAGACATTTTTTCAACAAATTCTTGAAATATTTGTTATAAAATAATTGTTCTCAGTAGGGTCTATTTGTTATTCAATGCAAGCATGCAGAATTTTTCAGGGGCAACTTTTCAAAGATTGACGAGAATATATCATAAAGTTTGCACAAAGTTGAAGTCGTTATGTGGGCTCTTGAAAAATATGTGTTCTAACTATACAATCGTTTTGCTTTCCTGAAACTTTCCGTATTTTGAAAGACGTAAGTAGTTCTCAAATAATAAGAATATATACACCGTAATTGCCATTTGGGGTTTTTATCAGGAATTAAATAGAAAACATTGTAATCAGAACATATTGTGGATTAATATTTATTTTGGGTGTATTTGCAGTTGTAACTGTTCGAAATTAATATTGCAAAATGAAACAAGATTCATGTTTTTCTGTTATGGAAAGTTGGATAGCATTTTCCTAGAGAATAAAGAATAGCAATTGCGAATTTGTTCGTCAAATCCAAACTTTTATCCACTGAGACTAATTTCGATCATTACATATAATTAGTGTTTCCATTCTTTACTGATACGTTCATCAGATCCTTTTGGGAACTTGAAAACCGCACTAAGCGAAAAAATGTAATTACTTAATACCAACTGAGACGCCTCATATATTAAAACCTCATGTGAGCCTGCTGTCAAACATTTGGCGAAGAACTGTAATGTACAAATATTTGCACATTTGTCGTATGCTACTCTCTATTGGATATTTATTCATTATATATCTCCTAAGTTAAACAGTGTCGAATGGCGGCCTCTTGTCTATGTGGCAAATATAAAGTTTTCGTCCGAATTTTTACTTTTGCTACTTTAAGTCTCTAATTTAAATAAAAATATTAATAATATATTTTCTCTAGGACAGGTGAAGGTAAGCAAATTTTACTCATTAAAGAAATACAATGCATTCAGCGCAAATAGATTATTAGTTAACGGAGGTACTGGAGAGTGGGTTTCGTCAGTTTAACATTATTTGAAGCCAATATCAACAAAAAATGTCTTATTTATCTAATTACATATTTAGACTGCTGCTGAAATGCATTTTCCGGATACTCTAGCGAAAAGTCAGCTCTAATAGAAATTTTTCGTTCTTGTAAACCCGTGAGATTACACAATAAACTCAGGTGCATTCCAAATATTTCAACGGAACGTGGAAAATTAAATATGAAATTCTGAAACAGAGCCAGTAAATTCTTCTTGATAATTTGTAGGCCTTGGACAGACAAGCGTAATAATGGTTTTGGTGAATTTGAAAAGGTCTGGATCAGCTTTCAAAGTATCAATATGTCATATAAATCTTTTATTATTTCCAAAAGGGCAATTTTGCCTACAAAATGTATTATTTTTATTTAGTGGGTAAAAGGTAAAATATTAACATTGTTTAAATATTGTTCGAATGTTGTTTTTGAATATGGGTGTTTAAAATCTTATCTAGAACTATAAGAATTTTAAGAAGTTCATTCTAAGGCAGATGCAGTTCTTGCATACAAAGTGCAATAAAACTCCAGTTGACAATATAGGACGGCTAATAAATAACACTAGCAAGTTAAAGCTTCTCGCGAAGCAAGTCTTGTTCAAGGCAAATTTGAAAATCAATTCCTGTAATTAAATTCAAATTCAATATGTGGCAGAGTCCAAAAATGGTGTTTTTTGGTCTTTGAAATCATCCCAAGTACAAAACTAAACTGGCAAAATATGAGACTTTTCCGAAAAGAAGACGTTTTCCAAAAACATTCGATCAATTCACATAAATTATTTTGCTCTTTTCAACGCAACCTCGCACAACATTACGTATTTTTTGAGGACATTAGGAAAATTGTGATGTAGGGAAATTCGCTGCCAATGATGAGTTCAGGTAATAATCATGTAGTTTCAAGTGCTCTTCAGTAACGGCAATTCAAGGCTGTGTGACTAATGTAACCAGCATATACAGGAACTCCCGTCGGTGTCACTGGCCTTGCCAATGTATTAGCATGAGGCAGGCTGTGCGAGGATGTATCGTTTGTATAATTCATTTTATAATATATTTTTTCAAAACAAAACCGCGTTTATTATGCAGTTACATTTCAGAACGGCATTAACCAGTATAAATCCTGGTTATATTCTTTTGATATGAACTCTGCTTGTTAGACCGTCAACGGATCTTTATTTGCCTCTGCATTAATATATTTTGGTAAATTTTAGTCGGGTTAGTTGACCGAATTAACTGACATTGAGATTTAATTGACTAAATTCCTGTTTTGGTAATTTTATTCCAATTTAACTATGGCTTGAATAAGCGGGGCATAATGATTTTCTGCTTAATTGAAGCGGATTTGCTAATCAAGGAAAATAAATGGTATGACCGTGTAAAATGTACCACATATTCACACAAAGATAACAGCGTTAGTTTTACTACACATAATTGTACGTATATTCATGTCCTGTGATGTGTCGCTATTTGCACATATTGCAACACAAAATATTCTCGGTTATAAAATAACTTTTCTGCTTTTGCCAGTAAGTATTGATTTTAGCTTTCATAAATATGAAGCGATTAAACAAAACAACAAAATCTAGTTGCATGTATGCCCTCGTTCAAGATACGCCCCCGTTGTGTGCGGCATGTTTATACCATGCATATTCACATATATTTGGTTTGTACATATTCAGTAATCCCAAATTTCATCTCACGTACCTGTTATGTGCTTCACCACTGTGTGATATATAGTAATAATATGCATTATTGTTCGTTGATTTCGCCCTTTCTGTATTAATTGTATTATACATTTACACCTATGAAGAACTAGAAGAACATTTTTGCCAAAAAAAATGTATTTTTTTGCAATTGTCGTTTTTTAAGCGAAGGAAATGAATTTCTTATTTTTAAATTCCTTTTCGTTTTAACTTTTTTCGTTTTGTGCAACTTTTAGAGTTTTTGAGAATGTGAAACAGTTTTTAAAGAGAATAATAATTTAGTAAAAATAAATTTAAAAATACTGCCTTATATTGAAAACTCGATTGAAAAGTAGTGAAAACATGTTCTTTTCAATTCATATTTTAAAAATAAAGAGATTAAGTTTAAATGTAGGTACTTACATAGTGTTTTGCAGGAAGCATCTCTGATTTGCTCAAAAAGTCATCAACATTTTTCAAAGGTTTTGCCCATTTGCTTCATTTTATTTAAATCCCCTAACATTGCTTGTTGTCTCCAACATTTTTGCCATTAACTTTCTTTATATTTTCAACAGGCTAGGAAAGGTTATTTGAAATGTTAAACTATTGATTATTTGATGTGCATACTATATTATATTTAATCATCAATATTTATACCACTCATCAAAAATAAACTAAATAGTGCAAACCGTTGAATGCACTGGATTCGTCGGATCAGTTATATTACGAGAGACCGTTTCAATTGAATGAAGAATCAAACTTCAATTTTCGTAAAATACACTCGGCTTTTTAGTTCTACCTCAACAAAATGGGTAACTTTTGAAGTGCAGTTTCAGTGGATGCGAGAGCGATTTGGACTTATTCGTCATTTAAAGGGGTTCTTTTTAATGACATTTAGCGCTAAAAATGTAAGTACTAAGAATAGGCTTAATTCACTGAATTACTTTACTCTGTTTTTATTCCAAAAATGGCAAATTTTCTTTTAATTCATTTTAATATTAGTAACCAAATATCGAAAACATAGGCGAATTTCACATACATTATTCGTGCGTTCCAGCTATCAAATATTAACAAATAATTCAAAATTATAGAATAGTTTTCAAGAGAAATTGAATTCTACTTTCACGTTTTTCCTTCGAAA